TTTCAGGTTAAGCTCTCTGTACCGAACGCCTTCCTTGAAGGCGCAAACTGCTTGATGCTGTGACACATTCTCCACTGTATGATGAAGGGTGGTCCATCTCTGGATGTAATCCTTCAAAGTTTCATTCGGTTTCTGGACGCAATGTTGCAACTCAGTTAGTCCAGCAGGTCGTTTGCAAGTGCCCTCGAACGTTCTGACAAACACTCGGGTCAGCTCTTCCCAACTGAAAATACTTCCAGGAGCCAACTGATTCAACCAAGCTCTGGTTGAGCCTTCCAGCATCAAGGGGAGGTGCTTCATGGCTACATCATCATTGCCGCCGCCAATCTGCACAACCACTTGGTAATCCTCTAGCCAAGTGTCGAGCTTAGACTCACCGATAAACTTGCTTACTCCCGTTGCCAACCTGAAGTTGGGCGGAATCTCAGCAGGCCTAATGGCTCTACTGAAACATTCAGGCCCAGACACGTGAACTCTGCCGCCACTCGGGTGATTCCTATCTTGTCCTTCTCTGTGTGCCCGGTTTCTATCGACCAGACCTTGTACCAGAATTGATCTTGCATCAAACCCGGGCTCTCTTGGGTCAACTGGGATCCTTCGCTCGTCGCCGTACGGGCGTCTATCATCGTACTGCCGGGGCACATACGATCCGCCCCACGGAGGGGGCGTTGGCACTCGATGACGGCCATCATGGCCGAGTCGATGATCGTACTGCTCATGGCTCTGACCCAGGTACTGCTCTCGGCGGTGCCCACGACCCTCACGCCACAGAGGCGATCTTGGGTCGTGAGCTGACTGGACCATGTCCGCTACCACGGACCTGCTGTGGATCTTGTTGCGCGACTGAGAAACGGCTGTGTTTTGCTCACCTGCTGCCCGGAGCAGCGCTCGGATCTGCATCAAACCTCTCCCGGCCTCTGATTGGGACAGCTGAATCGACTCTGCTATACGGGTTGTAGATCTAAGATTCTGAATCGGAGTGCGATATACCTGGGGCTCGGGTGGAAACAAATGTAGTTGTTGTCGACTGGACTCGGGGATCAACCGACGGGCTCGCCCATCGAGTGAATGCTGAAGGTTCTCCAGACGCGCGTGCTCGGCCAAGGTGGCTAGGCGCGCGGTATCTAGGGCCCGAGCCTCAGAAGTCTCCCCCACGATGGGGGTCTGGAGCGCCTCCACGTTATGGGGATGCAGCTCATCCCTTTGCTCCGAGGTGAGGGCCTGGGGTTCATACTCATCGTGAGCATTCGATGGACCATCGTCGTCGCCGCCGCCACCGCTGCGACGGTATCTAGGCGGACTGCGGCGAGAGTCAACCATAAGGACCTCCGTCGCGAGGTCGCTGCTTCCGCACTCGGATAGAGTGTCTATGGAGCCAGTCGACTAGTCCATAGAAGGGTTCATCGGTCTCGATTGCCGCAACTTGGGGGTGGCGGGGACCACCGCATGTTTTATCCAGCGTTGAAGCCGTGATCGACCAGACCGCTTGTGACGGCGTACAACGTGGAGAGTGGACGACGAAGGTACCGGCTGATACTGGGTCGACGGCTACCGCAGGAGGACGCTGCAAGCACTCACGCGGAAGTGCGCCGCCCCGCGGACGGGAAGGGCGTCGACGTCGAGGGGGGCCTCTGGAGCTAGGCAGAGTCGTCGGCGATGAGAAAACGAGTGCGCCGAGTCGAATCTCACGGCCCAAAGGCAGACCACCACTGGAAACCATGATGATGAAGATCAGAAAAATTGCAACCTCGTCGAAAGTCGCTAAGACACCTTCCCCGGTCGGCGCCAACTATTGTGGGAGTAAGTCTGACAATAGAATAGAGGGTACGTAGGAGGAGGCAAGATCCTAGCTATGGCAAGGTTGTGCACGCAAGGTTTATGAGTTCATGCCCTTCTTGAAGAAAGTAATAGCCCCACGTCTCGGTGCCCGGAGGCTTGGTCGAGTGGATTATGCGTGAGAGTTATAGGGGATGCGAACCCTTGTGCCAGAGGAGGGGGTGGCTTATATAGAGTGTGCGAGGATCCCAACCATCCCACGTTACATAGGGTTCAATGTACATTAAGACAGGGCGTTACTGGTAACGCCAGTTATAAAGAGCTATAAATGATCTTTAAGACTATAGAGTGAACGCCTGATCGTCACCATCCTGAGTGACTTTAGGCCTTCCGTATTCCGAGTGGTTTCTTGTATGGTCGAGTGACTTCATGTTGGTCGAATGGAATTGGGGTTTCCGAGTGAGGTTGAAGGTCGAGTGGATTGCACTCCTTGGTGAACTCAGTCGGTTTCTTCTGTTGTATCTTGAATGTCTTTGACTCTAGGGCAGTGTCCTTGGGTAAGGCGTCTAGGTCAGGCCTATGACCCTACCCTAGGTACATGTCATTGTTAGGAGGCCGCTACTGCTTGGGTCCTATGGAGGCGTACACAACCAGTGCCTTGCCCGGTCGCATGTCATTGTCCTCTCCTTCCCCTTTGTCTGAAGCACATCACAAGGGTTCCACTCTGATGAGCGGCACTGCCATCGTCAACACCCGCCTAGGCTTCACGGATGTGAAGCCCCCAACTCTCTATGACTGAAGCACCCCTTTACCACTCCGATGAGCGGCGCAGCCAAACATAGGGAAGATACTTAGAAAGAATATACCTCCGAGGCTCACGGCAGTCCGACAAGCGGGCTGCCAGACATGAAGAAGACCAAGGGATCCGCTGCTGCCAGGCATAGACTAGTGCAGTGTGTCCGTATCGTGAGAATGGAGCTCCGCGTGATCGGACGTGCACATAGTTTTAGCTATTTTAGTTAAAACATGTCCAAAATGTAATGAATTTCATACGATCTATATAAAATCCGTTGTCTTTACATGAATTTCATTCGGTTTGTTGAAAAAAATGTTTGCAATTTATGTGGGTAGTGTTGGATGGCGTTTCCCCACATTCGCGTCCGCGAACTGGTCCCTTGTCTGTGGAAAGACGCAGAAGAAAATTTGTGGGTCAACATTGAAGATGCCCTAATCAATCAAACTTTGGTGCAAACAACCCATCTACGATTCGAATGGACATAATGTGTAATCGTAATCCTCACTTATTCTATTCTTATGTTTCCTGAATCAAGCAAATCAAACATGCACCTAATTTTGATTTGTTATACATTTATAGAAAAGCTCGCTTCATATTGAATTCATGCTTCAGTCAACTAAACCAAAAATCCGAACTGATGGAGAAAGCTGGGTAATATATTTCAACACTTCGATACACCTCCTCAAGTAAATTCAGAGAGTACGTTTGGTTGCAAGGGTGGTCACAGATGGGTTGGGATCGTCCAAAAAATATACATGTTTGGTTATAAAGCACTTGAATGGTTCGAGTCAAAAAAAAGAATATGCCTCAAAGATGCTGAACCTTTCCTCCCAACGAAATTGGCCGGCCACCCTTTGTATGCATGACCATTTGAACATGAGAGGTGGTCCCATCCTAAATAATTAGACCATCTCTTATATTAAGCCAAACACATAAACTGAAAGCGAGCGCTTCTAGCTGTTTCGCTTGCTTCTTTCTTATTGTGGCGGCTATTATGGCGTGGCTGAAATGAATGAAAAGCGAGATGATTCAAATCGATTCGCTCCGCCTTACAGCCTTGCTTCCCATTGTCATTGCCATTGTAGCACGGCCTTCATGTATGGGTGACAGATCGGCCATAGGAGTACTCCGGGATATACACCAGGGCAACTAATGTCGAGCATACGATGATGCCGCCCGTTTTCATTTCGTGAAAGTCCCCGTTGCTCAATCCGTTGCTTGTTTGGTTCGAGGTTGAGCTCACCCGCCGCCCTACCTCAGTAGTCTTCCTAACTTCTATTCCCTTTCTCATTTCAGTCCTCGCCTTTTTCATCTTCCGTAGGGGCCTTTAGTCTTTTGATTAGAGTGGAGGTCGCGAGAGAGCAGAGCGTACCGCCCTGCCATATTCGCGAGGATACGCTTTCTCCAATGCTTGCTCTTGTTACGAGCTTCTACCCGACCGATTAGCCCAGAGCACTAATACGCTTTCTTTCCTCGAACAAGTACCTTTCCTTCGTGGGGGTCTTCTGTTCACTCTGATGATTAGGATGAAGGAAGTATACAGGGAGGTCTGCCAACCATTTAATGAGGAAGGTGGTCTTCATTTCTCTTGCGTATGGAAGCTTAAGGTCATTCCCTGCATTCCGTTTTTTTGGTGGAACCAATTCACTTGAGTGAGACAGAGGAGAGTGGAATTTCGGGTGTAGGGGTGAAATCCGTAGATCTACGAAGGAACGCCAAAAGCGAAGGCAACTCTCTGGGTCCCTACCGACGCTGGGGTGCGAAAGCATGGGGAGCGAACAGGATTAGATACCCTGGTAGTCCATGCCGTAAACAATGAGTGTTCCCCGTTCGTCGTAAAGGCTATGATATCAGGCTTCCGGGCCACAGGCGCCTGTTCCATTTCATGTTCCATTTTAGGCCTCCCAGATGAACCATATAGCCAAGAGAAATCATGAACCAGAATAGAAGAGCTTGCCCCACCCATGAGTAAATATTTCATAGTAGCCTCATTAGACCGTAGATCTCTCTTGGTATATCCAGACAATAGGTAGGAACATAAACTGAAACATTCTGGAGCTACAAAGATTCAATCTCAGAACGGTTCCAATCCATTTATATCATACCTTCAACCAAACGCATAATTATGAGCACGCGGCTGTACCGCTCAAGGCTCGAGCTAGCAAGATGGTGGCGTGGAGCCGGCTTGGCGCTTACGGGGACACGGCGGCGCGCGGCCGTTTGATCGTGCATGGATATGCCACGCGCGCACGGCGCCTCGTCGTCTCGCCGCCGCCATCCATGACCCACCGCTCCACAGCTCCGTCCGTTCTCCCTCTCCACGGCACTACGTGGTTTGGATTCACGTATATATGACCCACACGCTCCCGCACCGGCCGCATCGGCGACAACCTGAGTCAATAAACACCAAGAACAAGAGAGGCGAACGATGAAGGTGGTGGTCGCGCTGGATGACAGCGGCGGGAGCCACCACGCGCTAGACTGGGTGCTACGCTCCCTTTTCCCCGCCGGCGATCAGCCGGCTACGGAGGAGGCCCGGCATGAGCTCGTGCTCGTCCACGCCCTGGAGCCGCTCCACCACGCCATGTGCCCGGTCGGCGGGCCAGGTGAGCTAGCTGACGACCAACATCACGGCACGCCTCGCGCGACATTGCTGCACATCAGCGGCGCTGATATGAATATGATATGATGTGATTGACCACGCACGCAGGGTCAGCGGTGTACGGCGCGCCGGAGATCATGCAGTCGGTGCGAGCGGCGCGCAAGGAGAGCGCGCGCAGCCTGCTCGACAGGGCCAGGCGGGTCTGCCACGGACGAGGGGTATGTAAAGCAATATAGGCCCTTGTGAGTTGTGACACACGCCGTCGGCTCATCAACTTAAGCCGTGGCTGCTGCGCAGGTGAGCGCGGCGGCGGTGCTGGTGGAGGGGGAGTCGAGGGAGGCGCTGTGCCGCGCCGCGGAGGACGCGGGCGCCGGCCTGCTCGTCGTCGGCAGCCGCGGGCTCGGCGCCGTCGGGAGGTGCGTTACGTACGTGTGCCCGTCTCACGATTGATCGCGATACATGCACGTACGTACGATTGCTCATTCTTTTGGCTGCAGGGCGTTCCTGGGGAGCGTGAGCGACTACTGCGCGCACCACGCCAGCTGCCCCGTCATGGTGGTCCGGCCGCCGCCCGTCGACAAGGATGGCCAGCGGACGAGGTCATCTCCAATCAGCTGCCCGTCACCATGTTTACAACAGGGGTGCTTAATGGCGGAATGATCGTCGCGCGTTTGTCATCGGGGCTTTTCACTGCCCGTATGATGTCTAGTATGTTCGATGTTCTAGCTTGGTGTCACTGTCAACAGATCGAATAGCGTTCATTAATAAAATTCACCATGATCGATGTCAACCCAGTTACTAAACGCAGGAAAAACATGTGCGTAGTTGTGTTTCGCCGTAAGCCGAGTGTAATCTGTCATCCGCTCAGTTTATATCACTGTAAGAGCATCTCCAACAGGCACGTTAAAAAAATGTTTACAGCGCCTTCGTAGCTAGTTTTTATGCGGCCGCTGCAAAAATTGCGCGCGCAACTTCAGCAGACGCGCTATATTTCTTCTCCTTCTACTTCGACTCGATACACATTCGGCTCCGACTCGATACGATAGGCATGGATAGATAAACGGTACATAGATAGATAAAAACGATAGATAAAACGATACATAGGTAGTTCATAGCCTCCTCCTACGATAGATGAACGATAGATAAAAAACTACTCCTCGTCGTCGTCCTCCTCCTCCTCCGACTCCGCCTCGATGATGTCCTCCTCTGACGTCTCAATGAAAGCGTCAAGGTACCGATCATCATCGAAGTCCCAGGGCGACGCTGCTCCTAGGTCGATGTTGAATTGAGAGGCCGCCTTCCGCATACGCCTGTACTCGCGATAGGCGGCTCGTTCCGTCCTCCTCTCCGCCCTCTTTTGCGCATAGAACTGGCGCTCGTTGATGACGTCCTGCGGGAAGCGTCACGCCACAGCGTCATGGCTTCCTCGTCCATCTCGGCAAGGCCGAGACGGCGCTCCCGCCTTCGGTTGTGGCGACGATCCTCGTCGGTGATAAGCCGCGGGGGAGGCGTTAGCTCCCGCATCAGCACCTCTGGGAAGTTCATGTCCCTATGAGGCCGCCGTAGGCACCACGCCGCCGCGTCGTACGCGCGGGCGCCCTCGTGGACGGTGTCGAAGGTGCCGAGGCCGAGGCGCATGTCGCCGGATCGGATCTCGGCGGAGAAGGCGCCGGAGGGGCGCGCGCGGACGCCACGGTAGCCCGAAACTCCGCGGCGGCATGGTGGCGCGGTGGTGGCGTGTCGGCGGCGAGGCGAGAAAGCGGGGAGAGAGCGGCAGAAGGCGCGTGGCGAGGTGGAGAGCAGTGAGAGGGCGCGTGGCGGGTGTTAAACGAACATATTGAGTGCATCAACATGTGACTTGCGGGGCACATATACATAGCTAGGGATAGTATTTTCTTCTAGTTTAAACATGTTGGACTCTATCTCGATCTCTCTCTCTGTAATCTCGATCTCCCTCTCTGTAACACTCCTGTTCAGTTATATCTCTAACCGGATGTCTTGTATCTCACGCATACATCAATATATACACCTGCGGGCTCCCTATTCGGGGGTTGAGACGCTTCCATCAATCTTTACATGGTATACAGAGCACGCCCTTCCATCACATCTAGTTCCTCTTCATCGATTCCCCACGCAACAACCTATAGCGCCTAGTTCTTCCTAGTTGATCCCCTACCCATCAACCCGCAGCCATGTCAACCTCCACCGCCACCATTACCTCCAGCCTCAATTACAACACCTCCGAGCCTCTCGCCAGGACGAACTACGTCTGTAATAACCCAGATTTTTAGGGTTATTATTTTATGTTCTTAAGTTAAGATGAATAATTAAATCTGTATTATTTGTTTAAATAAATGATTGAGCATTGTTTCAAAGAAATATAATAGACATGCATTTTTCTCCCTGCAATAAAAATTAGATAGAATAACCACACAATCAGATAGGGTGTGCATTTGTGCACGTGAGTCTAGCATCCTTGCACTCACCTGGTGGTGTTTGTATGTGGTAGTAGACAACTATAAGGGGGTTAACATGGCATTTGAATAGATGGAATTGGACCAGGTACAAATGATAGACCGGTAGATATTCAACTAGGTGCATGCATGTAATAATGAGAATGCACACGTGTGTACTGTCCTTGCTAGCTAAGTAAAAATCTATGTGTACCTAGAGGTTGGCGTGGCATGCATGTAGTCTCTTGGACATTCTAGTCCTATACGTGGACTCTTCCTATGGTGGCCAGGTTGATTAGGCCTTTGCACTAGCTGTAGGGGCAGCAGCCAAATCTTTTTACCAGCTCCAAAGGTCAGCTGGAAGGGTCACTGCGGCTGCGATATTTTGCTAGCTTTCAACCCACAATCAACCCTATAAATAGGACCTCCTGCTGCTGGTTGTTGCAGCTTCAAACCATCTACTAGAGAACGAAAGAAGTGAGAAGAAGATAGAGCGTGTGAGTGAGAGAGAGACAAGACATGGAGGAGTTATATGGGGCGTATAGGTGCTGCTGGAGTGAAGAACTGAGCCGTGTGTCCGGAGAATATTAGTATAGTATATGTACGACTATTGGATTATACATTGATGGATTTATTTGCTAGGAGAATATTATCTCCAAGGAGGAATCTTGTTATCTAAGGCAAGTAGCTGCTTTGCTAAACTCCCTGCATGCCTTATTGTTGTCTTCCTTGAGTACTTGATTATATTGTTGCACCTTGATCTTTGTTGATCCTTTGTTAAGGGATGTGTTGTCCTCATAATCCATTTGTTGATGGAATCCGAGTATTTTGGAGGAACTCACGAAAAGTCATGAGTGTTTTGTCTCTGACTGGTATTTGAATGATCCTATCATTTGATTTAAACACACACCCATCTATATTGGTGTCACGACGGCAAACGTATTGTACCGATCACAGTTCAGGTATGGGACTGTCTGAGTTCTCCGCTAAGAACGGCACTCGTTGGAAGCGTGTCGATGATGGATCAGTAGGAGCGATCGACACTAGTAAGTCGAGTGGTCGGTTCTTGGGGGAATAAAGAGCTCTGCTCTTCTGGAACCTGTGTGGTTCTAGTTGAGGCTGTCGATGTCGGAGTACCCCTCTTAAGAGCGTAAAGTGTGAAATTTCACCCCTGTGACTCCCGGGTTGGGAAGCTTGCGGTCATGTGTGACGCCGATAAATTCCTGGTTGTTTCCATTAAATCTAGTTATATGTTCTTTTGTCCATTTCCACCAAAATACGTTTCGATGATTATTACCTTGTTTATCCTATGGATCAAGTTCATCTGTTGAGATACACTACCATACTATTCTTCTTTGTTGAATAGTGAAGTACCTACTTGCTGAGTATGACTTGTCGTACTAACCCTTGCTTTCTCTGTTTTTCTAGATGCAGACAATGTAACATAAGCATGTTTAGAAGATGTCATAGAAGAATAGGCTGGACCAGTGGGTGGGAAGCGACTAGAAAATAATTTATTTGAGCCATTTTGTAAATGTAAAGGAATTTGTATAGTTAATATATGAGCTTTTGTGATCCACTGTTGGTTTATGCCTGCTTAATCACGCCTTGCGTGACTATAGGCCCCTGGTCTATAGGCGCGCGGCGGCTGTCTCGCCTAGGCCCGGTCTCGGGGCGTGACAGTTAAAGTGGTATCAGAGCTCTAGGTTTTAGGTTGCGTTGGGATAAACGGGTAGATCGTCGAATATATTTGTGTTGTGTGATAAGTATGAATATTTTATTTTCATATCTTGTCTCAACTAGTTTGTGTGTTGTTACTCACGAATATTGTTGACAGATATCCATGGAAATAAAAAATATAGCGTACATATTATTGGTGAAATTTGAGGATGCATGGAAATAAATAGACATTTTGCTAGATTAATTCATGACTTGTTATTTGTGTAGATTTTCTTGTTTAAGACAACCGGTGATATTTTTCTAGTAATGGGACAATTACTATATCACCATCTATCCTTGTTGTTAATGTTTGTTAATGACCTTACCAAATAAAATGTTTAGTGTTACCAACTTATGTTATAGCAGATATATCTATGAATTATAGAAAATATTGCAAATCTTGGTTGCATTATTTCTAAGTAATTATTGAGCATGCATCAAATAAATTGTCCCAAATATGATTGGAGGGAATTTGACTCCCCCAAAAAAAGATGTTAGTGTTGAATTTCGGGGACGAAATTCTTATAAGGGGGGAAAGATGTAATAACCCAGATTTTTAGGGTTATTATTTTATGTTCTTAAGTTAAGATGAATAATTAAATCTATATTATTTGTTTAAATAAATGATTGAGCACTGTTTCAAAGAAATATAATAGACATGCATTTTTCTCCCTGCAATAAAAATTAGATGGAATAACCACACAATCAGATAGGGTGTGCATTTGTGCACGTGAGTCTAGCATCCTTGCACTCACATGGTGGTGTTTGTATGTGGTAGTAGATAACTATAAGGGGGTTAACATGGCATTTGAATAGATGGAATTGGACCAGGTACAAATGATAGACCGGTAGATATTCAACTAGGTGCATGCATGTAATAATGAGAATGCACACGTATGTACTGTCCTTGCTAGCTAAGTAAAAATCTATGTGTACCTGGAGGTTGGCGTGGCATGCATGTAGTCTCTTGGACATTCTAGTCCTATACGTGGACTCTTCCTATGGTGACCAGGTTGATTAGGCCTTTGCACTAGTTGTAGGGGCAGCAGCCAAATCTTTTTACCAGCTCCAAAGGTCAGCTGGAAGGGTCACTGCGGCTGCGATATTTTGCTAGCTTTCAACCCACAATCAACCCTATAAATAGGACCTCCTGCTGCTGGTTGTTGCAGCTTCAAACCATCTACTAGAGAACGAAAGAAGTGAGAAGAAGAGAGAGCGTGTGAGTGAGAGAGAGACAAGACATGGAGGAGTTATATGGGGCGTATAGGTGCTGCTGGAGTGAAGAACTGAGCCGTGTGTCCGGAGAATATTAGTATAGTATATGTACGACTATTGGATTATACATTGATGGATTTATTTGCTAGGAGAATATTATCTCCAAGGAGGAATCTTGTTATCTAAGGCAAGTAGCTGCTTTGCTAAACTCCCTGCATGCCTTATTGTTGTCTTCCTTGAGTACTTGATTATATTGTTGCACCTTGATCTTTG